ATCTAGTTTCAAGTATGCATCACCCATCAATATTTGTCATATCAACTAAGCATTTTCACTGATGTTTTAATCAATTGAAGTAGCATCTTAAACGATGTTGTACTTTAAGGGCTTTGAGAAAATATATTACCTTAGAGTATTATGATCTGGCATGGTTCAAGTCAAAATATGAGAAAATTACCATAACAATCAACTATTGGTTTTGCTCCTATATTAGCATTATTAGTTAGTCAAAGACATTATAGAAATTAATGAATCAACTAATTTTGTAGAAAAAACATTTCAACATCTTTCAAAACGTGTCCAAACTTGAAGCGACGAGTGGATGCAGAAAAAAGTGCAAAATACTAAGAATCCTCAAGAATTTGATATGTTAATCAAGTGTCGAGAATAGTGTCATTTGTATACTTTGGTATTGTCATAGACAAGTCAAAAAGAGTTGATATTTTGAATTTAGAAATTTCTAATGATGGTCTATAGGTTCAGATGATAAATTCGAAAATCAAAATTTTAGCAGCGGATGGTTTGGTAAGATGGTCTGACAAATCCTCTCTCAATGCTCTTTCCATTGATCTACTTATAGACTGAAAATAGAAACAAAAATTGTTTTTTTGATAATTAATATTAATTAGAAGTAGTTAATATTGAGTTATTAAAATTAGTGATTTTCGAAAAATAACTTTTACCGAAATGTAGCGTATTACATTGTCCTTTGAATGATATATATATAGAAGAGTTTTAAATAATTATTTATCAGTAAAAAACTAATGAAACATTAAATGTACTCTGAACATTTAATCACTGAAGAGAAAAAGATTCTTTGAAGAAAAACATGAAAGAGTTCTCCTTCAGAAATTCGAGCATATCAGTGTTGTCGTCAATTCTGAGAGTTATCGATATTACTATTTGAATGTCATTAAATGAAGGGTCTTTTAGTACAAAGTGAAAAACAAAAAGTGCATTATACTTTGGACTTCCATTGTACTTTCTGTAACTTCTGTTTTTAAAATCCATTAATATGCTTAAAAAAAACCATTAATGCTCGATTCAATTTGGTGACAGCTGCTCTTTTTTGAAATTATTTTTTCTGATAAATCGAAGTGAACAACAGCTGTTTTAATGTGCAATTAGTATTGTAATATAACAATAGCAAAATTTTTATGCCTTTATAGATCATTATATTTCTCATTCTATTTTTGTTCATTGAAAAGAATAGGGGCGCATTAGAGCCCTTTTTGGGGCCATCTTTAGTTTTGTTTGCTGCCCGTTTTAATGGATACGGGGTTTTGCAATGAATCGTCAAGTAACAAAGTAAAATCATTCCAGAAGAATCCAGGCACACTTTTGCTCATAACATCGATATCCACTTTTACGCCATAAATGTATGATTCGCATATAGAAGTATCATACAAGTATGTTTTTCATAAATGAGATATTTGAAATCGAAAATGATCAGAAATGACTGCTCATCCTATAGTGTATCTTCAGTAAAAGTTTTAGCTTCAATAGATGAAGTATTATCGAGCTAAAACTTTCACCGAAGATATACTACATGGTAGAAAGTTGTTTCTGATAATTTTTGATTCTAAATGTATCATTTAGGAAAAACATACTTGTATAATATCTCGATGTGCGAATTATACATTTACGATACAAAAGTGCATGTCGATGTTTTGATTCTTCTGAAGCAGATTTATTGTGTTATCAAGTGATTCTTCATAAAATTCTACATTAGACAAATTATGATTGAGGAAAAACTGAGGATAGCCCAAAAGTGACTTTTATGCACTCTCTGTTCTTTGAAAAGCTAAAAATTAGAAAATATTCTTATGCTTTTCTAATTGTAAAATAATAAAAACAACAAAAGAAATGTGTCTGAAAACTTTTCGAAAAATAGATTCGAATATTTGAATGGGAGAGTTGTCAGAAAAAATTTTCATTTTCTTACTTTAACTAATAAATAATTGTCTGGTTTCACAGTGACTAATGATCCATCGAACGTTTCCAGATGGCTAAGACCAACGACTGAACATGTTCGAGATGAAGTTGGTTGATCGTGACAATACCAACCCCCATTTTTGCATTGACTAGAAAGAAGTGAAAAATTAGAAACAGTAAACAAGACATTTTTTTCAAACCATTTTCTTCCATTTCGAAGTAAAATTTCATTAGGCCAGAAGACCTTCCCATGAAGAAAACATGTACATTCATCTTGAGGTACACATTGACGATTTTGACCTTCATCAATAAGCGTTCCATTTGTACAAACACAACCAGAACGGCAATTATGTAAACATGCTTTATTGTCAGATTTTATGTATGGATTCTGGCATGTTCTTGGACAATGACTAACACATTTTGAAAATACTTTATCCGGAGGACAATCAGAAAGTTCGCCGTTACTAGAAAAAAAAATCCAATATATAATTATTATTTGAATAACAGCCAAGCTTTTCTAGTTGTCTTACCCATCTTTGTAACCGGTCAAACATCGTAGAAGAGGAGACTTTCCGCTTCGTTTGGACGTACAAAATTGTACAGCCAACAAAAAAATCAACACTTTGCTTGCACAGCTAAACATGATAATGTTAGCTTCTTCACCGATTTCTGTTTTTGTGTCTCTGAGGATGTTTCAGGGTTATTATATGAGGACAGAGTTAATGGCCGCCTATTCATATTTTTTTTCTTTTGTTCATGAACAAAAGAAAAATCATATTTTAGCTGGTAACAGTTGGAAGAAATGGTCATTTACTTTTATCTAGAAAAATATATTTCAAAAGGATATCGATATGAAATAATCATTATATCCTGATGGTGCATAGATTTCTTCATGATCATTCGATTTTTTTCTAAACTGCGCAGAAGTAATTGATAGAATATACTAGAATAACAAGCTGTAAATAATAGTCAAGGTTATAATAATTTTATTATTCAAAAACTATTTATAAAATTGTTAGCAAAAAATCTGAGTAGAAAACTATTGTGACTAGCAATGAAAATATTAGTTTCTAGATTTATCTTGTTTTCTTACTGTAGATTTCAAAGAAAACAAAAACAGCAAGTTTATTGAATGTTTAGAAATCTTGAATTTAGAAAACTATCTGATTCATTGCTAAACAATTCATGGCTATTTTGCAATACTGTAACGGCATGGTAATGATTCTTACTTATAAATAATGATTAAATTATAAAAGATTTTTATTGCCATATATTGATTCAAAGACCTTTAGGAAATGAGTGAGTTTACTATCATCAGTATCAGTTATTATTGATATTCTAATAATTAGTCAATAGATTGACTTTACAAATCGAATATCTCTTAGTTAAATGAACAAAAAAAAAGAGTGATTGATATGTGATCAATTTTCATATGATATATGTATATACTCTTGTATAATAAAATCTAATTTTTATTAGAAATGGAAAAGAATTTTTATTTTATTTTTTTCGAATATCATTCAAATCCATGAGCTAAAAAATAATCAAATTTTCGTTAGAAAATATAGGGATATATTATGTTATGACGATAATCATATTTAGAATATCATTCTATCATCACTTAAAAGATAGATTTTTCATATTTTGTGCAAAACTTTTTAAGCATAAGAAGTGAACGAATTAAGCCAGTTTTTTTGTCATATTCTTTTTCTTTTGATTTATCTTAGTGCTATAATTATTTTTTTTTTAATTTATTCAAATTGAATACCATTACTTTTTGATTAATTTCTTCAATATAATGATAATTATTTTATTATCAATATGAGTGACAATTTTTCGCTTGCTAAAATAGAGTGTGGGACGAAAATTAGAAATCAATTTGGATAAATTCTCTTGTTTCAACTAATAATCTAATTGAAACACATCTATATTCCATAGGAGAAACGAGAATTTTTCAATCAAATAATCTTGAAATTTTTGTACATGTAATTATTGTCATTGTTCCTTAAAATCCAATATCAATAAAAATTTAATATCTTCAAAAAAAAACAATTAGCAGATATTGATCATTCGAATATAGGAATAATCATTGAATAAAAATTGACTTAGATGCACTGTTCTTTTAAATAAACAATCGTCTAAATTTTGTACTAAACATTGAGTTTTATGCATTTCTATAGAATAAATCATTTTATATGATCATTTTCTATTGATATTAGTTATATAAAATTAACCAAAAATAATAATGTAACATGTACAATATTGAATTGCATCTTTTTTTTGTCATTTGTTATCGATTTAAAAAAATAAACTTGATTTTTCGAAATTTATCTGTATGACAACTGTTGTGTGACTTTTATCTATGTATGTCTACGCCTAGAAAAATGAGGGTTGAGTGTTTGAATATTGTAAGCGAACATGCATGATCGCCTACATCCCTCCAGCATACAATAGTAGCTAAACTGCTGTACGCCATCGTGCTGCCGTCAGCGCACAGCGCTCTGGTTGGTTCGATGTTTTCGCTTGTTCTCTTTCCTTTTATTGAGTTGCTTGCTTCGTTCTCTTATTCTCTTTTCTAACGTTACTCTTGTCCTTGCCTACTCGGTGCGCTCACTGCTGATGGTGGCGCTCGAATGGCAACAACATTGACGCAGAAACAACAAAGAGTAGCCGTCGTCACACAAACGAGCAACGGATGGAACTTATGTCTTTATCCATCCATCTCTATTTCTCTTAATAAATGTCGACAAAACTGTCGATAAAAAAAATTCTAAATCTTTCATCAATATTCAATGTTACATATTCTTTTTGAGTATATATGAAAAAAAGTGAAAAAAGAGAAGAAGAGAGAGAGAGAGAAAAGTGCATTATCTAACTTACACTGTCTCATACGTTCGCTCTTCGGATTTTGCTCGTCCTTTTTCCTTCTGTGACTTGGTATACAACAAGAAAGATACAAAAAAGTGAGAGAAAACAATATATATGGATCGTAATTAGCATGGGACATCTTCAAACATGTACATGAAAATTAAAATAAAGTTGAATTATTCTTTTTATGAGTTAGAATTTCTGTGCAAAAAGAGTCACTTAAATTATTTAAAAAAAACTGAAACAAACAATCATTGATTTATCATTTCGTATTCTTTCTCAGGTATGAACGCAATATAGGCATCAGACACATACACTGTATAGTACATTTACACACAGAGACAAGAGAGAGAGAACTACTACTGTCCGTGGTGTGCAGCATATAAATTGCTTTCATATTTCTTGTTCTCTTGCCTTTCCTTCTAGTCCCTTCTTGTCTCTTTCTCTTTTACCACGCCCAGTGTGCGAGAGAGAGCGTCACTATTCACATAACTATTCATTTCTGTCAATGATTTTTTTTTTTTGTTTAAAAAGGAAGAGAGGACGACGGTCATGTATTTTGCTCCGATTTATGTCAAACATCTTTTCTTTGTCATATGTTTTGTATTTTATTTTATTTTATTTCATTTTTCATAACAATAGTTAAAATATAAAGATTATTAAAGCATAAGTCAGATATATATTGATCATGTTTAAAAAGATCAATACAACACATTTAATTCTTCAATGGAACGTACAATGACAAATAAATAATATATATCATAATGAGTATAGACAATCATGGAACTTTCAAACAATAACTTATATAAACATTCTACAATTATAATCTATTAAATTTCTTTAGGTTGTTCATGAGTTTTCGAGTGATGCTAGAATAAAAGCTTAGTAGACATCCATATAAGAAATCTTTTCCACCGTAAATTATTTTCAAAAGAAGGGTTTCAACACGTTCTGAAATAACTGTCAACAACAGCAACGGCGAGAGTAGCGTCAACAAGACGCAGTCAGTCGTCGTTATCATCTTTTTTTTTTCTTACTGTTAAGATATAAAAGAGCGAATGTCTGCAATGAAAGGACGAATGCAAAGAACTTTCATCGAATGCATACAGGTGAAAATACAAGAACAGTATGGACCTTTTATCGTATTGTCTCTTTTTTCAGCAAGGCGACAGCCGGTCCGTTCAACAGATGAATAGTCAAAAAAGAAAGTTTTTCCTTGCTTTTGAAAATGTATGTACTGTGTGTGTGTGTGTGTGTGTGTGTCAAGAGATAGGAGAAGACAGGATGGAGACGGACGGACGAACGGACGAAGAGCAGAGTGCACACGTGTAGCGTGTTGTGCTTTCTTATGATTCCTATTTATTAACAACCGAAAAAACCTTTTTGCTTTTTCGTCGCGTCTCTCTTGTTCTCTCCCTCTTTCTCTTCTACTTGCTCGCTTGCCTCTGTATGTGTCCTCTTTTATTTTCTCGTGCAAGAGAGAGAGCAAGCATTGCTTGCTTGCTCTCGCGCGCGCGCGCGCGCGCGTTTGCTGCTTCTCTCTCCCTGTGTGTCTCTCCTCCACCCACTACTAGACTACTACTACACATCGCGTCTTCTTCTCACCATCATCCATGCTTTCTTTTGTTTCAACATCGGTTTTTTTGCTTACAACACTTTTACACATAATGATGAGTATCATTGGACGTAATATACACTTTTCTTATACTACAGTAAAAATATATTTTTATACAATACGACGAATATTCAAAAAAAAAAAAGAAAAGAAAACAACAGATTTGTCTGGACATTATGCTTATCTTTCTTTCTTTCTCTCTCTCTCTCTCTCTCTATTCTATGAGCGCGCGCATATTGTTCGTCCTTCTCTTATGTTGTACGCACAAAGAATATAGTCGAAGATTTAGTATGAATGACGCTAGTTTAGTTTTCTGTTCTTTCCATCTTTGTTTATTTTGAAAAGAGACATCGCATTCGTTGTTATTGTTTTTTTTCTCCTTTATGTATATATATATGTATACGTATTTATATCAGTCCTGAACAAATGAAAAAAAAACATGAATCGACATCATTTTCAATTATTCATTGTGACTTTTTTTTTCTTCAATTCTTTTTTTGCATTATGTGAATGTTTGTTTCCATTCTTTTCCTTGCTGCTCGTCTTCTTCGCTCTCTGTTAAGTATAACACTAATGAGTGATACACATATATATTTATATATACGTATATTTACTCGAAAATTTAAAGGATAGAAAGGATGCGAGAAGACTTTTTCTCTCATTTTGACCTCGATTGAACATTCGTCGTCGCATAATTATTCTCTTTTCTCTCTGTCTCTCTCTGTCTCTCTCTCTCTCTCTCTCTCTCTCTCTCTCTCGCTCTCACTCGTTCTCTCTTACTCGAGTAAGCGAACGCGCGTAGCGCTCTATCCTAAAAAAAGAGAGTGTGTTCTCCCGCTCTCTGTCTCTTTCTCTTTCTCTCTCGGTGCACGCATAGCGCAATGTGATCATCCATCATTGCATAGCATACAGAGAGAAGGAGACGGAGAGAAGAAAACCGTAATGATCGCTTCTCTCCTCCAGCAAGCAAGAAGAAAGACAAGAGAGAAGGAAGACGGCGGCGACACAAGAGGAAAAAACAACAACAGGCGCGCGCTTTTCTTACACGCATACAATTGAAAATACACTACTCGAATTCGGAAGGCGGTAAATTTTTTTTTTCTAGATGATCTTCTCACCAATTACAACGATGAATACAACACCATTAATTCCACCACGTGTACAATCACCGTCATTTATTCGTAAAAGAAATTTACCAACTCCTCCTCCTTCTGTTGCTGATGTCAACGATTCTTCATCATGTTCTTCTTCTTCTTCTGTTTCTTCTGCCTATTCGACAACTACAACTACTAGTAGCACAACTCTTAGTGACAATAATAATACAGTAGCATCGTGTGATTTATTAAATATAATAACTGATGCTCGTTTTCGTCCAGTATTTCAAGCTATTGATGAAATAAAACGACGTAAATGTCGACCAGATCTTGAACGTATACTTAAATATGTTGGAAAAAGATATACAGGCAATAATATTTCGTATCAACGTGATGAAATACTTGTAATACTTGATGATCTACTTAAATTTGGTCTTATTACAAAAGTATTTCATAAAGGTGGCTTTACTATACGAATTAAAAATGAAAAATATGCTAAGCTTATTGAAAAAATGAATATATGCTATAGTCAAAAAACACCCACAGCGACACCAATGAGTCCACATGAAGCAATGGCTGCTGCTGCAGCTGCTGGTACCATTAATTTAAATGATCAACAATGGCCAATAGCAAAACAATATTTATTAAATTCAAATGAAATGAATAATAATGATCATCACCATCATCATCATCATCATACACGTGAAACACCATCACCTGAATTCGCTGTGTTTAAAATGGGTAAGAAAGACAAATCAGTCTTTTTCTTTTGTACTGTTCAACATACTATACTTACTATGACTTAGTTACATAATGGAGTCGTACTCATCGTATGATAGAAGGAGAAGAGAAGAAAAAAAAGAGAACGAGCGAAATCTTTCTTGTCGATACTCTCAACTTACTTATCCTATAGGCTATGTTTTGTTTCTCAACATATCATTTCTTATCTATATGTTTTGATAAAATTGTAATGAGAAGTTGGATATTTTAGAATCATCATCATCATCATCACCTATATATTCATCAATTGATCAGAATAATAATTCGGGAAAATTTCCTATGATAAAAGAAAATACACCTACAAATGGATCTATTGTTATACCATCAACATCAACATCTTCAACTACAAAACTAAATAATAAACGAAATCGAAGTCAATCAATATCACCAAATGAAAGTAAAAAACCATGTCTAACTAAAACATCTAATTCAATTCTTTCATCCTCTCCTACTATTCTTCCTATTGTTAATAATTCTGATGAACATTTATTTCGTAAACCATTAATAACAAATAATAATTTACCACCAATAACAATTGAACAATTACTTGGATTACGTGGTGATATACCAGATGTTCATAATTGGTCAACAAATGAATTAAATGAATTTTTTCATCAACAAGGATATGAATATGCATCGATTCTATTAAATAAACATCATATTAATGGAAATAAATTATATGGACTTAAACGAGAACAAGTATTTCGAATGTCAACACTTAAAATTGGTAAAGCACTTAAACTATGGAATGTTATTGAACAGATACAACAAAAATTATTATCTTAATGTTTGAATAATTTTTTTTCTTATGTTTTTTTTTGTGTGTTTATTTCTTTATATATGTATACCTGTATCTATGTCGATTAAAGTAAAACACAAATTTGAGTCTTTCCAAAAAAAAGAACAAAAAGGAAATTTATTCATGTTTCTTTTGTTGGTTAATTTACATATAAAAGTTCTCGGATGGTTATGTAATAATTGTTTCAATTATATAAAAGATGAAGAATTTATTAAATGATGTGGAACAAGAGTTTTCATAAGATAATTAAAATTCATCAGTTTTTAAATAAGATTTTTATATATCTGATCTATTTCTTTTTTTTTCTTTCAAAAAAAAACACATTATATGGAAATATAAACAACCGAATAAATAAAAAACAAAACAAGTAATATTGTTAAATCAATTGATTGTTTTCTTTCATAAATGTATCACATGCATCATCTATCGATAATCCAATCATTATTAAATGATGTTTATTTATTGTACTAGATACATTTTCTATTCGGGCTTTCATTGAAAGTGGATCTTCAAAATATGATGCTGATTTTAATCTAATAATATCTGACTTCTTTTACGTTATTATTCCTAGTAGTTGTTGTTCCACCTCGTTTAACTTTAAGTAAAGTCAGAACAAACTTTGTAATGTCTTGTTGTGTTCTAGAAAACAAATTATATTATATAAAAGAAACGTGACAGAAGAAAATACCTTATTTGACGTTTAACTTCAAATGCCATACTAGGTTTACTTGAGATAGAAGCGACATTAGATGTCACAGATGTATTTAATAGTAGAGCATTTGAAGAAAATGCTAGATGAATATTTGATGGCATTCGAACATCTAAAAAATATAAATTATTATATTAAAAAGATCATCATTTATTTTACTTAAATATACTGCACAAAAAGCGAAGCTGAAGGTAGTGCGGGTGAAGGTAAGTGCATCCCTGAAGATGTTTAAAACAGAAATGAGTCTAAAGGATTTTTTTAAATACTAACTACGAGGTTCTAGAGGCATAATAAGAGGTCGTTTCTATAAAGAAATTTATTTCAGATTGACTAACTGTATTAAGTTATGCCGGTTGAAACATAGCAATAGGCGTATCAAATTCTTGTATTTCTTTTTGAATATTATCATTTTAACGACTTACAGTGTCATTATTAGGAGAAATGATAGTGAATCAGCAAAATGAATTTGTTGTCGATCTGGAAAAGAATTTTCATGATATATGGCAAAGAGAAAGAACTCTACTATACGATTGAACAATTTTTGCTGCTCATAAGATTTTTACAGTCGAAAAGAATTACATAAGGTTTGATATAAAATAATATTAATTTCTTCGTCCCCACTAATATCATCGTTATCACTTCAAATCAGCGGCCGACCAGATGGCTTTCTAGTCATTTGAACTATAAAAATAGTTCAAATATTTCTTTCATTATTTTAACATTGACTTGTTTTTTTTACTTTTTCTTTCAGAGTACTTTGTGGCATATTTGGTAGATTTGATGTAGCTTCATGAGATAATTCAGGCATTGGAATTTCATCAATAGTAACACGTCGTGTGCCTTTTACTGACTCTTTAAATGATGAAAACATATTCAGCAAAATCGAAAGAATGAGCGAAGTCATCTACCAAACCATGTCATCAATTGTGTTCGGGACTTTTAATATTCAGCTAATAATTTATTCAATTATGAAACTAATCCAAATTCATCTTTCGACTATACAAATAACGAACATTCATTCGATGTTTATTTTCTATTTATTTCTTTACATAAAGTCGATAAACTCTATCTATCCCAGGATTCTTTAACTCTTACTTCTTTTTTTCTTATAAAACTTTAATATTATAAGTTGCTGGATTAATAAGATCATATTTCATCCTGTCAAGATGTTCCATTTCACTAATGAGACTTCAGATTTTTTTTCCTTTAAGTACACTTTGTCTAACTAACAAACATTGTTTTTTTTATAGTTCTTTTCGTTCTTTTTTTTCCAGTTTCTTTTCCTAAGAAAAATGAAATTTAATATTCTTCTTTTCTTTTCTTATTTTTACATTTATTTGCAAAACATACGAGCTTGATCTATTGGATTCCAATATTTTCAATTTTTTGTTGTACTAAGATTTCTATGACCTATCTTTTTCTTTTTATAAAAAAAATCTACGACGAATATTTTTTTTTCAATGAACCATCAAATCCAAATATGTATATATATATATATATTTAAATAAATGTCAAATCACTTATCATTGTATAACAAGAAAAGAAAATAAACAATAAACCCAAATGGAATGTTCACGTAGGCAATCACCCATAACGAAAGGCGTTCAATTCAAGTAAACGCAGCCATAAATCTATAGAAATCTGTTTTATAAGATGCTATAACAAATAATTTCGCTTTTTTTATAAAGCGTAATTCTTTTAATTGGTCAGAAAAACGATATATTGTATCATGAAAACGTGTTGGAATTTTTTCTATTGTTGCACGTAATGATGTATTATATGATATTTCATCTTCAATTAATAATGTTGATATAATTATTGTTAAAATTAAATCTGATATATCAAATACAAATACTTCAATACGACTTTTTGATGTAAATAATGATGATATTGATGATAATTTATATTGTACCTTAAATTAATAAGTTTATTTTAAAAGAAAAAAAAGATAAAACTTGATCATTTTACTTGATTTTCAATTTTCTTTTTTGGTATTGATTTATGCATTGGTTCAATTAAATACAGATATATATTTAATTGTGCACCAGCACTAATTGGTTCATTATTTGAATTTAATGATGATGATGATGATGGAACATTTTTTATTAAAAGTCCACTTGATGTACTCAATGTTTGTTGTGGTAATAATTGTTCAGTATCATTAAATAGATTAGATGACGCTGCACTATTATTTATATTAGTTAAATTTGTACTATTATTATCCGCTCGATAGTATTGAACGATTTGACCACTGAAGACACGTTTATCAGTAATGACTTTACCATTTTCATATGTACGAAAACGAAAACCTTCATCAATGGAACCTTTACCGTAAATTAAATGAATATAGCCACATGAAATACAATATTCGTCGAGAATTTCAAAATTCTATAAAAAGGAAAAACAAAATTTATATGAGATTAAAATGTAACATATGACGAAAAGTTTGAAAAAAAAACAGCCAGATAGGTATTCTTTTTTTGAATAACTTTTGATAGAAGCAGAATAGAGTGCTGCGATTGTCACTGTTGGTAAGAATATATCAAGTCGTATCGAATCATTTATTAACTGTTATATGAAAGGGATATGACGTACGAATGATTATCTTATTTAGTGTCGAAGATTGACAGACAACAATATTCGATCAAATGAACGTTTCTTTTGGATGAAGAAAGAGTGTACATTTAGCTTTAGTTTCTTATGAAAATTATTCAAAGAAACAAGACAAACTTTAGTAAGCAGTCTTTTAAGATTATGAAGCTCACAGTAAAAACTAGATTCCATTCATCATAATTCGGTTTCTACTCAAGAGAATCAGATTCCGATGCTACTACCAATATACATATCTGATGGAGTATGAGTATAGTAATTTTCAAAATCTCTAGTCATTATGTTGGCTGAACTCCGCGAAAGGGAAAGACTGTTGTCCAGCAATGTAGATCATTTTTTTTTGTAATGAAATAACATTTCTTTTATTGTTCTAAGAAATCATTCTTATAATCTTTTGATATTCTTTTGTATATGATTATATAAGCAAAACTTGAAAACTCTCTCAAACTTACCGATGGTAATTCATAGAAAGTATCAACACCGATACCATTTGTAACAAGTTCATGACGAAGACGTAATAATTCCACTGGATGACTACCCAAACAAATTACTGTATCGCAAGGTTTAGTATTATTCTATCGAAACAAAAAAAATAAAATACAGTAAAATATGTCTTAGAAATTAGAAAAAGAAATAGAAATAGAAAACTAACTAATAAACGAGTTGGACTTGTTGTTCGAGTTGCTGAAAGTTGAAGAAAACGTTCCATATCAAAACTTACACCAACAATATGAGGTAAATCATTAGAAAGATTTTTTTGAGATGGTCGTCGAAAATGTGCAAGCTAAGATAAAGAATTTATTAATAACTAAGAATAAATCAAATAAACATTACTAATGGATCATATCGACCACCTCCAGCATAGACTTCATAAACAGATCGTTTTTTTCGTTGTACAACAGAAGCTAATTGAAACATAAAACCTGAAAAAGTATTTATATCTAATATTGGATTAAGTGTCACAAATCGAAGTGTTAGACGTATCTAAAAAATATAAAATAAAACAATTCAAGTAAAAAAAATAAATAAAATTCTAATACATACAGGTATCGTCACACCGAAACAACGTGCATATTTAACGATTATTTCTAATTCATCAACAATATTTTTTAATAATTTTGATCCCTAATGTCACAAAAAAAACATTTTTATTTATTTATTTTTTTATTTATTTAAATTGTTACCTCAGTTTTAGATTTAGTAAAACCTTTTAAATGTGTAATAATTTCATCAAATGGTCCATCTTTATCTAACAATGTTTGAATACGATTCGCTGTTTGTTCACTAATTCCATTTTCAATTAAATGCGTAGCTATTGTTGAATTTGTCGAGTCAAATCGACTCTGAATTTAGAAAAAAAAATAAAAGAGAACTATATAAAGTCAATGATCATTTAACACTAGAGTTGCCAAATGAAAAAATAAAAAATCAGAATGTTTTTGCTCGAAATCGGAAAGCAATTTTTCTTATATTAGGATGCTTCTTTCGTTGTCCTATTCGTATAATATACTTTGTTTCTGTTTATTTACTCACACGTTATCAAAAAGATGTTTCATAATTAAAAACAACATACACTCCTAGACAAAAGCAGTTGCCCCCTAATGAAATCATACTATTCTTTATGATATTGAATTGAGATTGTGGATGCATGTGTGCGACAATAAGTTCTGATCGTAAATACCGATCCGCTCTCGATCGGTAAACTGAAGTTATGATTCACAGATTTTCTTTCCATTGTGAAAAACCTATTTAGCAGAGATATGTATTAAAAAAGTTATTGTTTGCTATTTTGCTATTCCACGAGCTACTGCTGTTTTTTCTATTGCTAAAGACAATCTCATATATCTACTTTATTATCACCAAGATCGGTGATACATAGTCAAGATTTGAGTAATTAGCATGCCCTGAGGTTGTGAATCCGTGTCGTAGTGCAAACTCGGCTTGATTCAGTTCTTCGGCTCTAAAACTTTCAGAAGAGACTCATCGTCTTACGGGAACTTTCTACGAAAGCTTTCAAATGAATTAATCGAATTCGTCGTAGAAAAGATCCATCTTACAAAAAACCAGTATTTACTCTTCAACAAATATTCTTAATGAGAAGATGATATCTCAGTTATTTCAAAGTGATTTTAATTTTTAAAAAAACTTGGACTATAAATAGCAACGACATTGGCCTTTCAAACAAGGAGGGATTGGATGAAAATATTTGTGCCAAAAGGTTTGAGATAAGGTAATCACAAGTTGATAATGATGTCTGAATCATATCTCCAGTTTATGTGCATTGATGGAGGGCAGATTGGTGCTTGTGATCAGGATTCATTGTCGCATGTATGCGCTCAGAATATCAATTTAATATTATAAGGAACAGTAGAACTTCATTGGGGGAAGGCGACTACTTGAGTCTTCTAACATATTACGTGTCTGATATTATGAGAATATAAGAGCACTGTAAAAAAATTAGAATTCAAAAAGATTTCTAAAATCGAAAAATTGTCTAATTTTTCAGAAGATCTGGCAACCTTGTTTAACACATACTTTATTGATTGCTGCTAAAGTTGAACTAATCTTATCCATAGGTACATCGAAGAAGATTAATATAGCACGTAATAATTGACTATGATTTAATCGAATAAATACATTTCGTTTCTAAATAATAAATAAAATAATAAATATTGTTATCTTCTTGATTTAATACTTACTTTTTGTAAATGTAATTCTTCAAGAACATCTTGACTTACAGCTAATATTTCAGCATCCGGAAGAAATCTTTTCAAAATAAATATGATATTATTTTTTTAAAATAATAAAATATTTTCTTACGTTGATTGTGTAAATATAATATCATAACCACATTCAGTTAATTCTCGTGGATGCATTTCAGTAACACCTTCACGATAAACACTTCCAATTTGATAACATTTCATTGTTGGCAAACCATTTAAACCATAATGAGATACACATCGAGCAATATAACGAGCTAATGGTACCTGAAGAAAATTATATATTAAATAATTTTAACTAGGATGTTTTTGTGGAACATGAACACAGTAGAAAAATTTTTCATTCTCTTTTGTCTATTCTAACACATGACGGAGCCATAAATCGAAAGAAAAATAAAGGAAGATTTCGTAGATGTATAATAGACTTTGTACTTTCTTTGAATAGGATTCTGAAATTTCGCCATAGGCAAAAGTCTTATTAACGAAATTCTGACTATCTCTTTGAATGTACGATTATGCCTTCTTCCTTATGATTTTCAATCATTTTGTATGATTTATTCGTTTGTACCATAAAACAAGAACAGTAAAATGAGTCATTCATGATTCCGAAGACTTTTAACAATATACCAAAAACCTGTCGCAGTTCAGAGATCAAATATGATTAACTGTTTCTTTCTTAATAATATCTATAGATACTATTCTTTAAATAGCTCCTCCTCTTGAACTATAAGACTTATAAGTTTAATAACCTTTGTCATAAAAATTTTGTTTAGCATTCAGATAGATATAGTATATTATAGAACGTACTAGATTAACCATGAGGATCAAAAGGTGAAATTTAATTATGAATTGTACAACAAAAAAACAAATATTCTAAAATTTATTTCTTCTTTCATATCAACATATGTAACAATATCAAGAATGTTTGCAACAGAGCTATTCTTATTAAATAAGTAACAAAAAATTTTATACTTTTGAATCAAATGCAAGTGAAACAATAAGACCAGTTGATGATATAAATTTTAAATTTGAACAATCATTTTTATTATAAATCGATGTATCTGGTATAAAGATTGGTAATCGCATAAGAAATGCCCCATATTTTTCAAATATACGGATAAAACTATTACGTAAACTGGCATAGATATGTGAATCACGATGAAATATTGCTAACTAAACAATAATCAATTAAACTTTGAAAACAAAAAAATTTCAATTCAAAAAAAAAAAACGAACCCTATTAAAATCAATTTGTGTATCGGGATCAAATGTTGCATCACGTGCAATATTATTTTTTCTTAAAAATAATTTTGTTATTGTTTTTCGATAATAAAATGATTGTAAATCATTATTTGTACTATTTATCATACGATCTAATAATTGTTCAAATTGTTCTTCTTGTTCAAATGGAATTATATTTGATTCTAGTAATGTATTTGCACTTGGTCGTTTATCCGGTTCATGATTAAGCATTTGTATAACTAATTCATACTAAAATTTAAAAAAAAGAATAAAAATAAAATTTCAAAATGTCTTTTTGTTTCCTCGTATTTAAATTTACATGACGTGAAAATGATTTTTGACGAAAATGATTTGGTACATGAATTTCCGGACGCCGTAATTCACATAATATTTTTGCACGCTCCATTGATGTATTAAATGGATAGCACATTTCAAAAAATGTTATACCCAAACTATATATATCAACTTTCTAATAAAATAGAAAAACTTAAAATATAAACGAAATTAATCTTTTGTTTTTTTTCTACTAACTTCAGTTGGAGCTATACGTTGACCAGTTAATAATTCTGGTGCAATATAAAATGTTGTTCCAACTGGAGTACTTATCACTCCACCATCTTTTAGTTCTAATGACCAACTTGATCTGTCATTTGGATTTAATTGTGTTTGTGCAGATGAATCAGTGTAACACTATTGAAGAAAAAAAAAATTTTAGATTAATCAAGAAAAGAAATATATAAAGAGTGTCTCGTAAGTTCTGAAACGATTTCAAAAATTCATCATTCTTCCATTCAACAAATGTAAACTCTTTGCAATTTTGATAAACTATTATATCTACTTAGAACTAAATAAATACAAAGTTTCAGATCTATAGGTTTTACTGTGGATAAGAAACTATGACACCATTATCATGTACTATTTTATCGATCTGTTTACTTATGTTGTAAAACACGATCTAAAAGGAGTGTTAGAGTATAGAAGTAGAAACTTGTGGGCTTTTTCACAGATCATGCCAAGCATTGTTGAGATACGATTAAAGACTGTATATCAATAACATCTTGTTATAATATATAAACTATTTTCTTATTTCATTTCTCGAGGATTAAGTACAAGGATGATGAAGATATGTGCTCCAAAATACATAGAATAAAATAATCTCTTTGTGATTAATAACAGCAACTATATTGTGTTTTATATTTTAATTATCCTCGCAGCTAGTTAAATTGAAACAAAAAGAAACATATATCGATTTGTTGATCCGCATGTATTTGATTCCCATCATAATCGATTACGAATTTTAATGGTGCTGATATTTTATTTACCATTCGTTAGCATAAAGGAACACTAAATTTTTCCATTCATCTCTATTCTTGTTTTTCAATTGTTCAATATTATTGTATTCTGGCTCTTGCAGTTTTTCTTTTAATGCATCATCATTTTTTTGTTTTATTCAATCGTTAAAAAACATGTTCAACAGTATCCAAAGCCACCTGCATACTTTGTTTTATGAACTTGATTATTAGGAATAATTACATTTCGTAAATTACTTACGAGAGAACGTTGTTAAGTGTCAGATCGCTTTCTGATCAAGACTATATTTAGATGAGAGGCCATAGCGAGTAGTGTAAAATCCTAAGAGGGTTCGATCGTTTGAGCCCCTGATCTTCAAATATCGAATTTTTACTGTATTTTTTAACTGAAAGTTGCGGTCTCCCTCAAGTCACTTTGAAAATCGAATTTCAAGTATTGACTTGAAACTTTTGCACAATGGAGGCTCTCAATGATACTAGTTCATCGTGAAAATTTCACTGGTTTAAATATTTGGTATACTGAGATATCAGTATAACAAGAACGACTACCTTTTTATCAGAAGGTTTTTCAATATTTATATCTCAGAGTAGGAAATTCAAAAATCAATGAAATTTTCATAATGAGTTAGTGTCATTGAGAACTTCATTTCTGGAATGTTTCAAATTGAAAGTCGAAATTTAACTTTCATGATGGCCTAGGGAACCGTAACTTGCAGTTAAAAAATGCAGTAAAAATTCGATATCTCAAATACAAAGGCTCAGACAACCGAATCCTCTTAGGTTTTTACACGTCTCATCAGGACCTCTCATCTGAATCTAGTCTTGATCAAAAAGTGATCGGACACTTAGGGACATTTCTTCGTTAGTTCTTTAACTGCTTTTTCTTCGACAATAGGTCAAATAAATTTCATATATCTGCCGTCAGTAAAATACATTTTCTTACGATCACCATCATCACCTTATGATTTGGTTAACTCCAACCATTCATCGATAATTTTATGCATGTTAATGTTATTACAGTTTCTCATTTAGAGTAAAAGCTAGAGACCTGAAACTTTGTATTTATTTAGTTCTAAGTAGGTACAATGATCTACCAATGTAGCAAAGAATTTGTATTTACTGAATACAAGAATAATGAATTTTAAAATTATTTCAGAATTTTTGTGATACCCTTTAATTAAAACTTACAGATAGTTTACTGATAGTTGCAAGACCAAGATCTCCGATTTTTGCATGTCCATTTGAGTCAAGTAGAATATTTCCAGGCTTTAAATCTCGATGAATAATTCCCTATGTATAGATATAATTGCAAAATTATTTCCTTAAACAAAAAAAAAAGATTATTTTAATTACCTTTGAATGCATATGTTTAAGACCATCTAAAATTTCACGTAACAACATCCAAATCATTTTTGGTTTCTCTTGTAATATTCCTCGATCTATTAATTGTTTTAATGTATTTCCTTCACAATATTCCATCTAGATAGAATAATTTTATTTGAATTCATATCAATAATGTTCTTTTTTTTTTTGTAGTTACTTGAATGAATAAAACTCGTTGAATATGTTGATCATTATGACTATTTACAGATGATGACGAACTTGATTGATCATTTTTATTTTCTTCGTTAAGATTTACTGATTTCTGGAAAATATAAAAAAAATTTCGAATAAATTTATTCAAGTAGAAACCTTTTTGTTTTAAAGGATCAACTTTGAATCACATGTAGTTCAGAATTTTTTGATAATGTATTTGCATTTAAGGAAAATAACTAGCTATTGATAGTATGAAAGAAATTGTATCATTCTTTTTTGTCTTAATCATTGTAATCGATAAAGATGAATAAGGTTTAGATTTATCAAATTGTTATTTTTTAATATTTTCGAAGAAGATTTATTCAGTTTAGAATATAGCGGAATTCAGAAAGTCTAAGTTTATATAAGCAAAAAAATATAAACTATCTTCGACTGATATCATATTGATTACAAAATCACATCAAATTTTTTTTCAATACCAACCGTTAATCAGTTTATTAAGCCTTCACCCTCTCACACTAATCCAATAGAGTTGCTGTTGAGTCGTTCACAGGAATAGGTTCCACAAATACAATGGTATGGTTAAGTCTTAACAAACTCATTTCAATGTGAGGATGCAGAATGAACCAAAAATGACCCATTCGTTTTGAATGATTTAAAAATTACATTAAGGTTAATTTGATGTTTTTACAATTTTTTGCAGTTATGCTGTTATTTTATCATTATAAAGCTGGAAATCTACTAATCATGAAGTATTCCTTGAAAAATGAATCATTTCAGGAGATGATATCTGATTCGATATTTACAAAAGAAGATTTAAATTTCCAGAATTGTGTCAGAATCGTTAGTACAATGGACATTCTAAAAGTTGTTTTTCTTCAGCCCTTTACACAACTATTCGACAATTGGCTTAAGTGTTGTTTAACAAACAAATTAATCCTCATGAAAAAATGCACTTGTGTATTCAATTAAATCAGGTCATTTTGAGATCGTCTTTTATGAAGCCATTTATGACCTATTTTAATACAGTGAAAATTGAGGTATGCCCGAGTTATGTCGAAAGTAGAAATATCGAAAACCGAAAATGTCGAAAAGTTCGAAGACGGTAAGAGTAACATCTTAGTAGTGTTAATGTTGTCAGGAAAAGAAAAAATGGGCGAAACTGTGTTTTTAAATCATTTTATACAAACAGTAATTTAACAAAAAAGTATCTAACAATCAATAATTTTTTTTATTATTTTTTTATCCATAGCAACAATAAACGATAAACCTTCTAAATACTCTTCTAAATTCATTTTATCATTTGCATAATGACCAGCAAGAGTATCAATACGACGTTTACATAATTTGTTTTTTTTTTGTTTCAGAAGAAGCGATGATTAATTTATCTCTATCTATATTCTATTTTTTTAAAATATCCTTTTATATTCTATGGGAAATTTGTTTATTATACATGCTACTATTATGATTAATAGTTGCGCCTCATGCTCTTCGATTATTTGTCAGGTCGGCCAATTCTCATTCGACCATTTTTACAACATCAACTCTACTAAGATTCTACCCTTGCTGTCTTCAAACTTTTCGACGTTTCTTCTTTCGGTATTATTTAGTACATTCGACGTTGAATTCTGTTCTATGTAGTTCATATTTGAGTTTTGAAGGCGGAAAGAAGTAATATCGGTTCAGATCTGACCAATATGCTAGATTTGGATGCGATTTCATATGATATTGTGTCAAATATTCGTTGATATTCTAGACTTCCCGTGATCTTGCATTTTTATGATCAAGATTCAGACCTTAAAGATCAGTCTTTGATTTCTCTGCTGATACAATTTGAAAACTTGCACTAGGAAGCTATTGACAGTCTAAAGTTCGTTTACGAGATCATGATGGTATGGACTTGGTAAAATTAGATTTTGTGAAACAAATTGGCATGTTTCATTTGTTTGAGCTCTGTTTGTTTATAAATTAGTTTGTGACGCTCCAGCTTTCGACTATTCTATTATGTTTTTATCTTCATGATAAAACTATGATCAATCACTATTGACAATGTGGAATACAAGATGGAAATTGATCCCTCGAAATCTATTCAGTTAATGACTAGATCTGCGATAATTCTCAGTTCAATGAACCGATTCGTTTTCGTAAACTGTGTCAAAGGAACAGTTCTTGAAAAAGAACTATGCCATGTAAACATTTCTCTTTTTAGAACTGGGTCTAGCGACTAGTTTGTTTTTTTTGAGAATTGAGTCCTTCTATTTTAGTATTACGTTTCCGTTAGTTTTATTCCATTGCATTTGTGCCGTTCACGAGCATGACCTAGAATGAAGCTATTATAAATCTAATGGGACGATTAAAATGAGATGTCTGGTGTCACCAGTTCATTCAAAAATAACTGCTCTATAGATCAGTTCCTATCAAAAGAACTGTTAGGACAGTTCTCAAGATCGGAACTGATGTGGAATTGTCGTAAGTCTATTAATGACGATCCAATCGAATATGAAACTGTTTTCAATCATCAATGAGTTGATAATCCAATTATGGAGCACAAAACTTTGTGGAACTTTAAACCGGTAGGTAGAGTTAAAATACCCACTGATGAAATTAGACTGAAAGTATTCTCTATTCATTCATATGGTTAATTATTGCTGGAATACCATTAAAAGTATCTTCGATTACATCTTCAATACTGAAAAGTTATCTGTTGAAATTAATGAAATATATTAATTAGTATGTGAACTGAAGGCATTAAGTACCCTCATACTCATACTAAATGAGCACAACCTTTCCTGTAAGTCAAGTCAATTTACTAATCATATAAAAACATACTCTGAAAATGTTCTTGTGAAAATTTAAAGTGCATATAGAAAATGTTGTATTACTAGTCTGAAAGAAATGCAAAAATACAACGAAGCTCGTGACTTCTAAATTCAAAACTTTGCGCATATTAGTAAAAATGTCTAAAAATTGTTTTAGAATAGTTGTACTGGGATTATAGCTTTTAGACGAGTCGACCGAAAAAAAAACTTTTGATGTGCTTTATGTATTCATGTTATTTTTATCATATGAAATCGTTGGTTCAAAATCACTCATTCCTATCATTAAAGTCTCGTCTAGAAGGAAGGCCATTACAGAAATTGCAAGTTTCTATCTTTTATCGATATGAAATTATTTGAAAATTGCGTTGGAATGTTTTTTTGACTTGCTAATAATTCTTATCAAGTTTTTAGAATGAAGATCGTGTCATTTATGAATTTATATCGAAAAAAACAATAACTTCAGAAAAACCATTTTGCATGTTTCTCAATATGAATGGTCCGAAAATGAACCAACAGGAAGTACAGAACTAATAAATCATAAGTATAATCAACTTTTCGTACTGTTCAAACACATTCATGCTAAAATTAGTGAATAATATCAAACAATTAACCATTCGTCTAGGTTTATCACTGAGTTAAGCCCCCTTAAAAATCGATCTTGGATCAGACACATTCAAAACGCATGAAATTTTCAAGATATGTTGAAACTATAGTGAAGAAGCTATGTTGAAAATTTCCGTCCTACATCATGATGTTTTCGAGAGATACTCAACAAACAAGAGTCCACAATAGCTCATTTGCTACCCGAAAATTCTCTGTGGACCTCATCCTATAGATTTAATTTTTTTATTTGAAAAAGCATGTTCAACTGCAGTGCTCTTTTTTTAATTCTTACGTTTTTATGCGAAGGAAAAGGATGACGAGTTCAAAACCTGGAAGAACTTTCAAAAAAAAGGTCATCTATTTATAGAAATGTTTTTTTTTATATATAATAATAGAGAAATTTAATTCAAAAAATGAGCTATACTAGACACTGCAGCTTCACATGCTCCTTTCAAATAAAGGAAAAGCAATTAGCTACAGTGAAGCTCGTTCGAGAATTTTGGGATGTGCAAGCAGAAAAGCATAAACAAAGAAAAAGAATTTGCCACTTTTCCTGAAAAATAAAAAAATCATGTTGTTTATGAAAGATGATACCTCGGACTATCATGTCAGTTTCGATTTTTCTGAAGAAAATTGATTTTTCTTATTAGAAAGGGTCTTAAGTTGAAATCAAAACTCATTCCAAACAATTTTAACGACGGATATCCAATACTCTTTGATTTCCTAGAAAATTTCGTTAACATTTTAAAAAGCTCCAAAGCAATATAAATCGAAAAAGTTAATCGAATGGATACAAAATACTTACATCAACATTGTTTTCTTCACGATCAAATACGATTAAATCATCACTTCTTTCTACTGGATGAAACGTTCTATTCAACAAAAAAAATATTTAAATATTGCATATGATTTGTTTTTTGTTCTTTTCAAAAATCAAACCTTGTATCAAATACACCACTTTCATCATCTGATGATGGTGTTGATGATGATGTTGAATCTAAGGAATTATTTTCTTGATTTTCTTGTACTTTTGACATCAAAACATTTGGCATCATTCTATGTAATTCATATCTTAAACTATCACCATTAATAGGTTTGTTTTTTGACGATATGCTTGATTTATTTGTTGTTGATGGATCATTTGAAGATTTATTTTGATTTTTTAATGACATTTGTTCAGTCCATGTACTGTAATATCTATATCAGGAGAAAAAAAAGTAACTTTCCACTGTAAAATTATTCACATAAATGTAAATATATAGATTTACCTCACAATATTTTGATGATTTAATTTTGAAAGTAATTTAACTTCTCGTGTAATTTTTTTATTAACTTGTTTATTTGCACTTTTAAGAAGAATTTGTTTAACAGCATAAAAACATCCATCTAATTTATTTTGTACCTAAATTATTTTAATTTGACAAGAAATCTTGGTTTTTTTTTTCGTTTTTATTGAATGTTTTTTTTTGTATTTACTTTAAAGACATTACCAAAACCTCCTCGACCAATTATTCCAATAACTTCAAAATCAGATTTAAGACGTGATTGAGCTGAAACAAGCATTTCATCATTATTGCTATGTGTTGAACTAGTATCATGAGCTAAAAATTTGTTTTTTTATGTTTCAATAAACGAAAAAAAACAACATTAGATAATTTTCTTACTATCTGAATCAGAAATAAGGTTGTCAAAATTTGTTTGTGATTCAATTCTATGAACAAGAAAAGAATCAATTGATAATTGTTTTAATGATTCACCACTTGCACATCTAGATAAAACAAAAATTTATTTAAATATACATTTAAATAAATAGCTATTAGCACAATCTCTACTCATGTGAACATTTCAACGAAGTAACCTAACTTAACATAGTTTAATTTTTCAATTTTTAAACGAAATAAGTCTATCAGCTGCTCAGAACTCAGATGTTGAACAACAGTTGATAAACACTTAAATTTCGCCATATTTAAATGCTTCAACTTTGACTTTTTCCGCTGTCGCAAGCTGCTTGATTGAGCTTTCATTAATATTTTAATCGCTGATAAGTAATTATTTCGTTTAAAAATTATACTTTTCTTGCCTTTGGCTAAATCTGATGGTTCGGAAGGACAATTCGTTCAATAAAATCAATATTATGACTCCTAATATACACACGAAAAGTTTGAACCAAACCTACTAACCACCAATATATTAAATACATAATGCATTCGTTATTCTTTTTTATTTGAAAAAATTCTGAAACTTACAATAGAGCAGGCACGGTAATATGATTCATGTAAATGCATAAATTACTACATTCACGTCATATGCTGTGGGTGTGTCTGGTTATAATGCTCGCCTATCATCTACTCATACACACCTATCGACATCCGAAAAATTATTTTTATGATAAAGATTAGATTCAAATTGTTGATTTGACGTCCACAATAGATATGCTGTAAGTTGATATAAAATCTTTTTTCTAAATGTCTCATAGTTCAAAAAGAACTAAATTTTTATAACATGGTCTCTATAGGGATCATAGAATAAGAAAGGGTAAAGCTAGCTTACTTCACTAAAATTTTTACATGGGCAATAGGATTAAAATGTAAAATACAATGCAGCTATTTTTACTAATTACACGGAGATAGTTTTATTCTATCTATTAAAGGACAAATTTTTTCACAAATCTATTATTCAATCCTCTAGAAATGCAATAAAGATATAGTTCATGTATTATAACAAGATTTTATTAATACAAAAATCTATGATCGGATATCAACGTTCGTCATGGTCTATAACGAAGAGGAAAGACGTGTTGCTATAGTGTTGTCACGGTCTGTGGAGGGATGCAAATTTCTACCCTTTATACTTCAATAGTTCTTTTAGATAAAAGTTTACCGTTGTAGAAAATCTCTAAATTCATCTGATAATGTTGATGGTGCATCAAGAATACAATCATGTGTTCGACCAGTAGCCAAATTGAGCAAAAGTAAACCCTATATAATTATCTAACTTAAGTAATATACTATAAAATCTATTTTACCATATCATAAATATCATTTTTAGTTGAACCATATAATGATCGTGGAAGTTGACCTTCATGAAATAAAATATGTAAATCATTCAATCTAATTAAATAAATGATAAATATACAAATAAAAATGAAATAAAATATAATCAAACCTTCGAACGAAACTTGTTCGTGTTATTTTAATCCCTGTTGTACAGAGATAAACAGATTTCGTCTATACAAAAAAAAACAGAAACATTTCGATATGAATAAAGAAAAGAAATTATAAAAAGAAAATAATTTTACATTTATTGCACGATGAATGATTGATTTTGAATGAAGAAATGAAAGTATTTCGCAAAGAGATATTGCAATTTTCTTCAATAATGATTCCGATACGGGGCAAGAATCAAATACTTCAAGAGAACTAGCTTCTGACCATTCAGTTAAAACCTAAATTGAAAATTCAAATTTTGAACATAAAAAAAGACAAAATAACAAAAACAAAGAAATTATATCATTTACTCGAAATGTATAAGTAGCTGTATCATAAGTAACATATTGATATGCAACTATTTTACATAATGAATTGTGTCTTATATTAATTAAACGTTTAATATCATTTTCAATATTTCCTATTTCACTACGATATTGTACAAGAAAATCTTCTTGATCATTTGTCTTATCATCATTTTGTATATTTTCAAAATTCCATTCATAAAGACAATAAACATGAGCTGTTTCACTATCCGTACATATATAAGATATATTAAGTATTTGTTCTGATATTATTGGATGCATTTCTTTATGTAATATATGACCACGACGTACAGTTATTTCAATTGGATTTTCAAATTTAATTATTGTTTCTGATGGAATACGAGCAAATCTAACAGTTTTTGTTGATGACACATCAGACTAAAAAATAAACAAATGTAGAAATAAAAATTAATTGATACATTCTTAAAGAATTAAATCAAAGAAAGACATATTTTGATTTGAAATCAATAAGAAATTCGAATTATTTTCTTTGTTTCAAAGTTCATACTAGACTTTTAAATAGATCTTAATGTTAATAGCCAAGTCTAAAAAAGACGATGTCCATGGGCTATACGAAGTGGCTTGAGGGACTACCAAGATTTATTTAGACTTATCTATTGATAGCATATAATTCATGTTAATCGCATCAAAAAAATGCCATAGTTATGAAGTGTTAACCTTCATCCTCAGCTGATCACCAGCCGTAAGCATCATTGTCGTCGTCACTCTCAGCTAGATGATACCTGCATTCAGCCTAGTGTCTTTCGTTTAATGATAACATATATAACGAGATTTATAGAAATATTCAAATAAATTTCGGAAGTTGCTGAGCGACTTATGACTATTTTATGAATTTTTCAGTATCATGAACAAACAGGTCTACGAAAATTGGTCGGTGAGAAAAAAAAGAAGATCAGTTAATAAATTGTCTGTAGTCCTTTGATGTGGGTGTCGGTATGAGGAGGAGTGGTGCAAGAAGATCCACATCCACGCCTACACCCACCTAAAATGTTATGTTCTTTTGTTATAAATTTCTCGACTATTTTTCGCTGGCCGGCATAAACTCATGAATAATTGAAAGAAAAACCTTCAATCACTCATCAATTAATTGAATAATCAATTTTATACTTTCAAGGTTTTAGTTATGAAGGATCTCTTAGTGTCGTGATATTTATTGTTGAACAAAGAATTGTAAAAATTTTGATTGATACTTTCAAGATCATGCAATAAATCTACGAACAATGAAAACATTCATCAACGATCTTAAATAGATTTCGAATATTTCCATTCACAAGTTTTATTAGGCTTTAGCTAAGAATACTAAAAGATAATTAAGAGTCTCAAACTATTTCATTCTTCATGCACTTTTTTTTGGAAAAAAAATTAGTTTATAGATACATGTGTTTTAGATTATTTTCAATTGGTCATCATTGACAAAAAATAATCTCAATTATGAACTTAGCCAGATTTAAATATTTTTCAAAAAATATAGTTTCTTCGTGAATTATCAGAAAAGCTATCTAGAATTAATATATAAATATAAAATAATCAACCTGTCTATATCGTTGTTTTTCTGCTTCTTTCGAATGTTTTTCTCGAATAGCATTAATTTCTCGTTCGATTTGTTGATGTTCCTAAATTTAAGAAAAAATTCTACAATTTCAATAATTTATTTTTCATTATTCAACAAACGTCATTCTCAGGATTTTGTTCAGGTAATGGTTGTATTTGAGGTGGAGTTCTTTTTCGTGGACGAAATTCATCTAAAAATGTTTGTGCATATTGTGCAAGTAAATAAATCATTTCCTATAACAAAAACAAAAATATTTCATAGTATTTTTTATCAAATAATAACGGGTGAGGCAAAAGTTTTGCATTAATTTTGTTTTTGATATAACTCTGCAACGCAATGTCGTACAGACTTGATTTTCTTTTTGTTAGAAAGAGCAAAGTGTCTAGTGCAAAAATATATAAAAGAATTTGATTTTTAATGCTTTTCAAAGGCCACAATAGTTTTAGAACACAATGCTCCGAAAAACTCTTCCGCAACTTTCGTCACATTTTTTTAATCCAAAAATATTTGTTTGAGCCTTTTTCATTAGCCACTTTCGAGCACCATATATATACAGTTGTTCATTACAACGGAGGTTTTCATTTGGTATTAAAATAATTGGTATAGCATACAAAAGAATGAACAAAAGACACGTTGATAAAAACAAATTAAGTGTTCGAATTTGGTTTTGCAGCGTGAAAATAAGTTTTTTTCTGAATATCTCATAGAGAAGTTGCATTCTATTCCAAATAATATCATTTAGTAGAGGACTCAATAAACTTTCTTTTATAAAATATATAGCTCCTAGCAATCTCTTCTGCAAAATAGAGTTTATTTTTTCGATTGCTACCAACAATGATGAAAAATCGATGACACAGACGATATCATAAAAGCGTTCATGTCAACCATTATAAAACATGTAGAAAATTTCTTTTTTTGTAACGCAATAGTGCTCTATCCTTATATTATAAAATCCGGATTAGACGAATAAAAAGATAATCTGTCTAATTATAGGAATTTTTTTCTAAGTTCAAAAAAGGTGCGGAAGAGTTTTCCAACGCCTTCTGTTCTAAGATTGTTGTAGTTTTCGAAAAACATTTCCAATCAAACTCTTTTATATATTCTTGCACTAGACACTTTGCTCTTTCTAACAAAAAAAAATCAAGTCTTCATGACATTGCGTTGCAGAGTTATATCAAAAACAAAATTAATGCAAAACTTTTGCCCCACCCGTTATGTATTTGAATATATATATATATTTGTACCCCTCCGACATAATTTTGCATTTGAATTCGAAGTTCTTTTTCGCATCGTTCTAATGCTTCAATAGATAAATTTTTTGGATTTGCTAATTTTATTTCCGGAAGTCTAAAAAAAATTTTCAAATTAGAGTATCAATTGAATTTGAATAAACAAAAATTTATTTACTCATTTGGATATTTTGATGTTTCTTGAACAATCAAATCAAATGTTGGATCATTTTTTTCTTGTGATATTATACTATCAGATCGTAATGGTGTTATTGTTAAAGAAAAATATGGTGGACGTAAACGTTTATCACGTTTAGTACGAAGATCTTTCAAAGCATTATTATAAATTGAGCTCAGAACACGAAGTTCGTTTTCTTGAGCATGTTTGAGATTAGACTCCATCATGCAGACGGAGCGACTCAAACTATAGGTAAAACATTAAGAAAATGTATCTAAAGACAAAAATTCAAAAATTGCATAATTATTCGAAACTTATTTATATTATGTCTGAAATTTAAGTTTTTCTTTCTTATTGTTGGCTATTTTGTCCAATCAATAATATTTGTTATGCTTTATTTTCATTGGATAAATCAATTGTATTCATTGTATATTAAATAGTCTATAGTCGTCGATCATTTTTCTTACATAAAAAAAAAAGAAAAACAATGATTGAATATAAAAGGATGAATCGAATGTTACACTCTATTATTGGTGTTAATTTATTATTTATTATTATTTTTCTTTATATTGGTCTTCGTCCAATTTTTGTTCTTGCTAGTCTTGCTTTAGGAATATTTTTCATTGATTATTTAATATTTCCATTTATTTATCTTTACAAAGCATTTATACAATGGTTACCAATATTATTTGAATTAAATATTTTAAATGGAATATTAATATTAAATCGAATATTTCATTTTTCAAAATTTTGGTCAATTATTTTTTTAAGTATTTCTATTATACGAAGTATTATTGTTATTTATCGTTATCATTTACCAATACAAGAACATCATCGTTTATATATAGAAAATCAAATTGAAATATTATCTAAATTTATTTTAAAACAATCAAAAAATTTCTATAATCATTTATTAAAATTATTTAATCATAACGATGATAATGATTTAGATAAATTTCAATTAGAACAAATTAATTCTATTGAAAATATTGTTAATGAACATGATGAAACAATTCAACGTTTTGAAAAAATTGCTGATGAACTTTCATCACCAATTATATCAAATATTGATTATTCAACATCATCTATTCGTCGTCATCATCAACGTACTCTTCAACAAAGTGAACTTGAACCATTATCTCAAACACCCATAACACCAGCTCATACAAATTTATCAAAAGGAAAAATTTTACATTCAACTATAAATGGATCATATACAGGACCAATGACAAGAAATCGTACAAGGACCGATGGCAAGACTTCAATAACAACATCACCATTGACAAATAAAGTACACACAGATGTGACCTTTATTATTTCTAAACGGGATGATGATAGTCAAAGTCAACGATTTAAATAGGACAGATATTTTTTTTTATTACTTAATTATTCAATGTCAGATATTTTTCCTGTTGATTTATTTTACTCTTCAATTAACTCAATAAGAAAAAAAAAAGATTATATATATACTGTAGAATAAATAAATTATGTTGCAGAATTGATAAAATTAAAGAATTTTCAATTTTAAGGTCAAGTTTAAACGAAAATTAAAATCGAAATTATATGAAAACTAACAATATTGATTTGAATAGCTAATATTCGTAACAAGTATACAATAATAGAAAAGAAATACTTCGTGGAAAGTCATGTGCATATTGTTGTACTCATCATATGAAACAAACATAATCAATCGTTGTTCAATGGAACTAATTTTTTTATTCTTTTGGATGAAGTTTTTCATTTCAGCATGATATGAATAGTCACTGGATAACAGATCATCGAAAAGTAATTTGACAAAATGTTCATTCATTTTGCACGGAGCGTGCAGAAATTTGAAATCATTGGATTAGAATTAGAATTTTGTATTCTTTTCGAGTATAGGCTGAACATTTTTGTAGGACTTCTAGTTTAGGAATTATGAGCCAATGTTTTAGAGGTCCATAAATTGAGTTTGAACGAATTTCTGTGCATCAAAACTCACACAAAGTAGAAGCGAAAATGACTTAGAATTTGGCGAATGAAAGAGCAAACATTTCTCTATAAAATAGTCCCATCATGCCAATTTAAACAATTTTCTTGGTATGGAAAACAAACTTGTAATGTTAGCTTGGTCATTTCTAAATAATTGTTCTGAAATTTCTGATTCTGATGTCATTTTGTAGAGAATAATCTCGCCTTTAACTCTATATAAAAAACAGGAATTTAACCAAACTTAGTTTTCATATCTCTAAAAGTTCGGTTCACAACTCCTAAATTATAAATCTTAGAAAAATTTTGAACTTATATTCGGAAACAATACAAAATCAATATTTTCAAATTTCTGTAGGTGCCCTTAAGCGGCTGTAAAATCAATGAACACTTTGTCAAATGACTTTTGGATCATCCGCTATATCAAGACAAAACTTTATTTGTAAACTTTTAACTTAATCAACTGTTTTTTTTATCACATAAAAATTGCAATGTTTCATTAAGATTTTATTTCTTTAATATAATTGTTCGCTATGGTACGAAAATTTTTACTAGAATCATATCTAAATCAGTTTATAGCTTCGTTATAATGGTATTTTATTATATAAAAGTCTATGTGAACGAAAATTTCTAAAAATGACAGTTGTTTGATAGTAACCCTCTATTTAGTATTAGAAAAATAAGTAATTTGTTATACAAAGCCTGCAACAGATGTTTTCTTTTAAGTTTGATTATTACATTGGCTATTATTTCGATCTTTTATAAATAGAATTCGATAAAATACTTTAGTTATATTTGTAATTGTAAGTACAATATAGAGTCAAGGTTATATGTTTTAAGCATTCAAGGCCATGTGACCTAGAAAATCGATATGATAAAAAATAAATATTTTGAATCTATTTTGTTACTTTACTAGGTTTTTCCTTGCTATTTGATTTTAACTTTTCATATCGCTACTCAACATGGTAGATATAAAAAGTATTAAATTATTATTCGACAAAGTGTATCAAATGAAAAAAATAATAAGTTGATAGCATTTTTCATGTAATACAATGTTAGAATATTGATAAAAAAACATCTGTTAAAATAGTATTTTATGAAACCATTAAGCATATATCGAGTGTTGCAAAAGTTTTGCGACATTCTCCGTTTTGCATGTAATTTTGTTCGGGAATCAGATAAAGTGTTGATCTTTTTTTTCCACAAGACGTTCTATTGAATATTCTACTTCGATCACAAAATCAAATATTTATAACTATTTTCGAAATTTTAATAGACTACTAACATTAAACATGTGTATCATCGTTCTATTTCTAACGAGGAAAAATCCATTTTATGGTTGACAAATAAGGTCATTTTTAATCAAATCAATGTTGGATAAAATGGACTGTTTGAGGCGTTGTAAAAAAAAACCAAAACGTTCATCACTCTACCGATACTTCCTATTAGATCAGTACTGATTTTTCCTTAACGTATTTTCATCATCTTCAGTTAAAACAAAGTTCTCATTCTATTATTTCGTTAAGCTCAGTTCTCTTTTACTAATTCTTTCAACTGTCGAGGAAGTTTAATTTAGCAATTTGTGCACCGAACTCACTGTTTATAGGCGATGAATTTGAGAGCAACATAGCAAGCATGTTTTATTTCAGTGCAAAGCATCCAAATCAATTGGCACAGACGTTTTTTTCTTCATTGACATTTGAGATGACGATAAGCAATTATTCTCATGTTTTGAGGGCACATGAGATCTGTGATTGGTTCCAAACATCATAGTCAAAATAAATGAACAAAATTTGACAATTTTTGGCCTTCTCTCATTTTTCCTTGTAGGAAATAACACGATGCTACGCGAATTCAACTTTAGCAGTCTATTAAAATTTTGAAAATAGAATTTAAGATCTTGTCTTATGATCCGAATAGAACACATTCAATGAAAAAAGATCAACGTTTTATCATGTTCCTGAATAGAGTTACATACAAAGCAAAAAATATCACAAAACTTTTATCACACTAGGCATATCTAAATATAGATAAGACAGAAAACAAATATGCATATTAAAATTAACAATTATCGTAAGAAAAAAACACTTCATCGAAGGTACCGTCATGTTTCAGGACTAGCTCAATCAGAATTAGTACTTCATAATAATCCAGTTCTTCCACTCATTGATTTTTCAGCATTTGTAAGTAAAGATGAAACAAATCATTATCCTCGTAATATAATTGAGAAATTAGCAAATGCTTGTGAACATGTTGGATTCTTTTATGCTATTGGTATGTTCTTTTCTTTTTCTTTTTTTTTTATTAAAATTAGTATGAAAAAAAAAAAGAAGTAAATTGATGTTTAGGTCATGGAATATCGAATGAATTACTTCTTCGAACATTATCTGTAACACGTCAATTATTTGATCTTGATTTGAAAATCAAAAATCAATATGCTTCTCGTTTATTTGTTAATTCATCAAATATTAATTATCAATCTGGTGGTTTAAGTCGTGGTTATCAAAGTATTGGTGAAAATGTTACAAATTCAAGACGTGATCGTCATGAAGGTTTTGATCTTTATCGTGAATTGGATTCCAATCATCCACTTCGTTTACAATTCAATGAAAAAAATTTAACAAATAAAACTTTACCTGATTATCGTGAAATGGCAATAGGATGGAATCTATGGCCTAAAGAATTACCATTATTTAAAGAAACTATAACTGAATATACAACAGCAATGTTACAAGCTGGTGCACGAGTTATGCGTGCTATTGCTCTTTCATTAAATTTACCATTAAATTATTTTGAATCAACATTTAATGATTCATTTTGGGTAAAAAACAACAGATTTCATTGTGATTTTGTTTTTCTCCTTCATATTAAATACATACATCTATTTTTTCATGATTAGGTTATTCGATGTATTCGTTATCCACCTGTATCTCAAAATAAAATTCAATCACCAGAATATGGTGAAGGTTGTGGTGAACATTCAGATTATGGTTGGTTAACATTTGTTAATCAAGATCTTGATTCACATAATTGTCTTCATGTTCGTACAAATGATAGATCAAAAGCAACATATATATCAGCTGATCCAATTGTTGTTGAAGAACAAATTGCTTTAACATGTAATATTGGTGATATAATTGCATTTATTACTAAGAATAAATATCGTTCAACACGTCATTGTGTTGTTAGTCCTGTTAAACCAGCTCGATCACGTATTTCAACTCCATTCTTTTTTGAACCAAATCTTGATGTTAAATTACGTATTAATGAAACATCTCCTGAGTGTTATTATGGAGAATATTTAATAAGTAAAGTTCGAAGTAATTTCAATTATTATACTGATTAATCAAAATAATTATTAGATAAAATATGTATATTAAACTATCTATCTAATTAACTCACTTTGGTTATGTTTATAAAAAAAAAAAAAAAAAAGAATATCTCAAAAGTTCATTGGAAAAGCAAATGTTATTGTCTATTAAAAAAATTCAAGCGATTTGATCACTATTATATTTTTGTTTTTATATAATATGATAGTGTGTTCTTTAAAGTTTTATTTGATGTAATTTGTTTAAGAAATAAAGGTTCATAATAATATCTATCAGTTAAAACACATAAATTGATCTTTCGATTCTTTTCTATCGACTTACTCTGATTCTCATTTCTTATTTTAAATCGGAAATGATCATCTTTCAAAATCATTATATTGATATCAATTGTCATTTTATGTTTATTGATAAATCGGTTGAAATCAAAAGCTAACTCATCCAAAAAAAACTATCAAATTCTCTTGATTGCTACTCTCGTGTAACATTAGTCTAAAAATTTTACACATTCTAA